GTGTGTGTGTGTGTGTGTGTGTGTGCGCGCGTGTGTGTGTGTGTATGTATGTATGTACAGTATAATAGCATAAACTGTATGTATGATTCATTTATTGGGAACCCTGACTAATTCTAACTTTAGACATTATTTGATAAATATTTTCTTCAAGTATAAAAACAAGATTGTAAAAGTACTGTTTAATTTTTAAGAGTTTATATATACTGTATATCACACGGACCAAAGTATCATTATGTTAGTATGATCACTGTGTGTATGTCTTTATATTAGCTTAGCTCTAATGTTAAAAGGCTAAACTGAGGTTCTTCCATGAAGCAGCTTTGCTGCCTTTCATCCAGTCATTTCTTTATTCTCATGTCTATTAGGGTGCTCAGGTTTCATTTAATTATATTGATATTGTCCAAAATTACCTTTCAGAGTGAAGAGCTCACAGTTTTACAACAGAACATCTAGTAAACATCTTCATTAACCCAGAATGCTTTGCAGTGCAAATGTTTCTGTCCATGTAACAATGGGTTTTTAAATTGATAAAAACTACACAGCCTACAGTATTTTTTACACTAGTTGTTATAGTAAAATTAAATGTTTATCAATGACTAATGTTACAACTAGTTGGGGTTTGTTTTAAGAGCTGATTTCTAGTTTTTTCCCCATGTTTTCTTATTGACAAAAAAACGAAGTATTTATATCAACGTTAAGTTTTTTATTGTTTTATTTTCCTTCTTGGTTTAATCACAGAAGTTGGTACTTGACTGAATATAACTAACAATATAACAAAAATGTAATTAAAATATAAAACTGACATATGTAATCAGCCTATTTAATAATCTAATCTAGCAGCTGCACTGTGTTTTAAATTTTTTAAGCTGGGAATTGCCACCAATTTTTATTTATTTATTTTTTATGTTTTTTTAATGACAAGATTCTGACTGTCTGTTCTGTGTCAACAGCTGGAGGGGAGGCAGAGTGCACTGGTGGGAGACGAGGTGGCATTCTGGGAAGGCGTCACTACTGGGCTCATATCCGATGAGAAGAGACTTGAGGAGAAGTGGACAAGCATTTCATGTCCTCATATTGTTTTTCCATTTGTACCTCATCTAAGTAATGGCCCAGTGGTATTTGTGTTGAGCAGACTGAGAAATGGGACATTTTCTGGTGGTCTGCTTGTAAAATGAGAGGAACAGATCAGAGAGGGAATAATTTTGTGGAATAATTCATTCCACAAAAAGAATTTCAGATAGTGAGGTTTCACCTTTTTTAGTTCAGCCTGTTCTGAGCTCTCTTTAGAAAGAGCTGTATATAAGATTAGAAAAGATAAAACTTTATTGATCCCACAGTGGGGAAATTTGCACCCTCACAACCTTTTGTTTACAGTAGCTCTGCCCTACCAACATGGCGTTTATGTTACAATTTCAGAAACGTAAAAATAAATGACTAGTATAAGCAGATGCACAATGATTTAACATTGGTAGACAGGGTGCCAGTGTGGCCTCCCTCAGGGCTTGTTAGAGACAGACTGAAGCGTCTGACCAAAGTCAGACACCTTGGTGCCGCGGAGGCCAGTGCGCTTCCTTCGCCTCTTACTGAAGTTGGCGAAGATGAACAGAGAGGCAGTCAAGATCTGCAACTCGCAGCCTGGAGACTCCA